CGGCAGACAATGATGATAGAGTTGTCTGTAATTATGTCTAGTCATGGCTACATTATTCTGAAAACAATTCAGATAATCGTCTAATTTTCATGAATTTGATATTGAAACATAAAGATATTACGGTTATCTAAAGGTTTAACGAATGAGATATGTTTACTATCATATACATCAAGTAACCCTGGTAAAATACTAGCCGCGATATACCGCTCAGCAAGAGAGAACTTCTCTTTAGTTCGATGGGTTGAGCTTAAGATTAGTAAGTCAGAGGTCATTGGTTCGAATCCTGGCGGAGGCGTTGAAATAGATAATGATCTCTGTTATTATTAAGTCAAGAAGAAAAAATGGAAGAAGGCATAAAATTCCAATATTCTATCACAAAAGACACGCAACTGGATACCAATGTTCACTAATATAGAACTTATCGTTATGTAGGCTAAAATAACAAAAACTGAACGAAAATAAAACAACTACGAAAATTAACAGTTGTAAAGTAGTTACAGTGTGGCCGAGTAATGAACTGCATTATACCGCAGTTCTGTCAGTGATTCGACAGAACGCTTTCACGTGACAGAGAGTAAAATGTAAAATACAAGTGAAGGAAGGGAATCCATGAATCAGTATTAAAATGAATCGATATTTTCTACATTGAATAAAGATAACTTCAATAACGTCATAAAAAAGTCATGTATATAATCAGGACCGTGACACTATTATATTGAGCGCGACATGTCTAATAGAAGTGTATTATGTCCTCCACCGCATCCTCACCGCCCACTGTCACACCCAGCAGTGTCAATAGATTGTACAAAAGACTTACTTTTCCATACAAATTTGAATTAAAATACCATACAGCCAATTACTGCCCGACAATATATTTTCGTTGTGCGTAATTTCCGTGGTTTATTTTTCGAAAAATAACTCTTTCGTGGACACTTGATTTCGTCGACAAATACAGCTCAGTAAAATCTATTTATATTTTGTTAATAGTTCATGGAGATACGAATTAAGAGTTTCCATCAAATCTACGAGAAGAAATCGTCCACGACAATCCATTATTTTACAGTAACTGCATGAAATTTCTAGAAGCGGAATAAACGTTGATTAAACGAACAATAATTATAAGGATTGATAATAAATATCTGCATATTTTTCAAACATACTTTGTACATGTGCTTAATGGATTTCTAACACACAAGTTAATATACGAAATGTTGAAGCAATGATGTCATATCAGGTTTGTCATCATCGGGGCTTCTCTTCTTGAATAGCGTAGCCTAAAGTTTTGTGTAAAATCGTAAAGTAGCCATCACGATCTCATTTTGAAATATTTCATATCTCTGTGCGAAGTTAATTCAGTTCAATGTTGTATTTGTAAACCTTGTCGATTCTTAATAATGTGTTCCCCATTTAACTTATTGGCGTTACTTACTTGAATTGACCAAGATTTACAATAAATTGAAGAGCAACGTCCACAACACCTGGTATCACTTTCGGTCCCCATGCTTATGTTTCTTGTTTTTAGATTTGTCTATGGATAAAGAGCTTTGTTAATGATTTCGGCCCTTAGTACCACTGACGAGCCCTAAGCTATTTGATATATTTAATTATTTTTGATTAAATTCAAATAAAAAATTAAAAATTTTCGAAGTCTATTATAAAGGTCCTATTGTGTTTCATAACTAAAATTTTAGTAACATTTTGGTATTCCCTTTTATATTTTTAATCAGCTGGTCAAATGTTAAGAGTTTTGAGATTTTTATTCATTGATTTCACACTCAGATACAGAACGTAATTAAATCAGCTCTTTATTGCAAAAAATGTAAATTTAGGCCATCTCGTATCAAAATCAAATTGATTGGAATAACTGTTCATATATTTTCATGGGACTCAAATTTCTTGGTTTTTATGATACATGGTGTTTACATGATCGTTCTAAATCTGGGTTACAGTCTTATTGTGATACCCTTCATGCTAGATGTAGAATTATGTGTGTGTGAATTTCAAAGAACTCTGAAAAGCTGTCAAACAATCTTCAACACCCTTTTTAAAAAACATTTCTTCTATAAGAACACTTGATTTTCCACTCTGTACGCCGGAATACCCCATTCTAAACAGAAAGAACGCCTTCGTTGAAATGTTATAAAATCTTTTCCGAGAAAGATGGACAGCAGTACAACTAGCTGGTCTCATTCTCCTGGTTCAGTAGTCGCCATGAAAATCGTTGTTTTGCTGATATTTCGCACTAGTTTTATTGAACGATTAAATAAGTATTGTAAATATAAGTCACTTTCTGTCGCTAGCCATTTTATGACAACAAATGTCCAGATCCATCCCCAATAATGTCTTTATACAATTTAGTAAAACAGAACTACTAGTGATGAAGCTTTTCAATATTAATGAAACATCTATTTTTTCCTTAAAAAATCTTTTTTCAGTATACAATAAATTCAAATAATGTCTGTTAACAACACATATATTTTTATAATTGGCCTAAGATTTGAAGACTTTGCTGACAATGCTGTAGTTTGGTCGATCGCTGTTGTGTCTAACTGATCATATAGATAGCTACCCTGGGCTATAAACAGAAATCTGATCACATGACCTTCTGACAACGCCTTATTGATACGATTCATTAGTCTAGCGTTTCTTCCAGTCGCCATTGTCGATCACAAAAAAGTCTTGTTCAGTGTTACACAGGTGAAACATTCTCCCATTGAACTTTTCATTTCACTCTACATTTCATAATATTTTATTGATTATTATATAACGTTCGTATCACGGACACATGCAGTAAGGCGCATTGATTGAAATGTCCCGCCTGCGCCGGAAATACCGTTTCTACTGGGAATCACTACGTCCTATCAGGGAAAAAATCAATCAACAGAACTTATCGTACCGTTCAAGGAACAGGACCGAGAAGCTCGAATAGCGCAATCAGAGCGATAGCCAAAACCGGAAATTGAATGACATAATCTTGGCGAAGAGAACGTTTTAGAAGACCAAATATGTAATAATTATTGTAAAAACATGCTTATAATATTGTATTCAACAACAATGTGAGTATATAAGCGGATCAATAGGGTTCCGTACAATCTCTGTAACACAAAAACAGAACGTCTGGTTAAACAAAACTAATTAATCCACACCTAAAATAAGGAAGCTGATGATTGTTATATCAGTTCATTATTTTTATCCAAGAGTTCATTACAAAATACAGCCCTGTCTCAAAATGATCGAGTCTTTGTTAATTACATGCTTGCAATGGTTTTGAAATCAAAGTCATATTAGCGTTTGATAACTATAGACATCAAACGAACAACATCATTCAGGAAAATTAAGAGCTTGATTAAAATGTACATCGATTTAAGATAATGGAATGCACATCAGTATCACCTCTCCGCTTGATTTCTAAATATATCTGTGAATATCACAGCACTTTTCAAAAGGAGAGTTATGTAAACAGAGAATAATGAACAGAAAAGTCTATATCAGCAGCGAATATATCTATCCTAAAAGCAGAACGATAGTACAGACAGAGTGTAGTGGGTACGCCCGGGTATACTACACACATATTTTGTGATACTATACATTTTGTAGATACTCATTTCATTTCCGGTGTAGAAAATACCACGTGATACCGATCTCCCTCAAATACCGACTCACGATACTGTATATTCATACCTGACCACGCCCTGGTACTTTGACACAGTCAATTTTCATGAAAACTTTCATACAAAAATACTTATCATAAATGTGCAGATTCAATTAAATGTGGAGACATATATGTTCACTACTTACCATACAATGTCCATATATGCTTCAAACATAAACATCTATTGGTATGTAAAACAGGAGGCTACATGTGAACTCGCATATAACCAAAGTATATGTATATACTTACACAAGTTAATCACGTGATCTCTTTCACTCCCAGAAAGTAACGTTATGTATATTTATAGGCATGGCACGAACTGACGGACCATTCATGGCGAATGCATGTGAGCAAAGCTTTCGAACCATTGCGTGATAAGTTTCCTTTGAATCGAAGGCTGCACAATCATGCAGAAAATACATTTAAGAATTTGTTTAAAATGACATCAAATTGATACCTTTAATTTTCATTAGATTAAAGCATAATTTACAATTTAAACAATAGTAAACAAAGCATTGTCGTTTTTGATGTGTTATTATGATATCTAGCACTTATCCGAGCTTAAAAAGTCATCTCTGTAATAGTTCCATTGTCACGCGATGAGTATGCGGCTATAGGTATATAACAGTATAGACTGTAGTGATATATATGTAAGTATGTTCTTCCGCTCAATAAAAATCAATATAATGTGTAATCTGAGAGGGTTTTATGTCCTGACCATTTGTCCCACAGTGACTATACTACTGTACGTACATGTATATAGTTCTCTGTCAAATTACTGCTGGTATCCTTAGAGCGATGTAGAAATAAGCAGAGATGTAAAATGGAGTAGAAATGATACACAATATCGTTGACCTGCAAGAGGAACGTCAGAAGAAAGAAAATGATGAAATTGGTGAAACAACAAGATGAAGTGGAAGAAAATTGACGACCGAAGGAGACTACAGTCGAACCTCGTTATCTCGAACTCGTTTAACTCGAAGACCCCGATTAATTTGAATCATTTCGTCTGTTCCGGCAAAACTTTTTACTGAACATTCGATCTCTCTAAGTTTTCTAACGGTGCTGTCGACTTTAAGTTTCATTTCGCAGCTCTTTATCAGCTTACCAGCTTACACAAAACTTTCGAACTCACTTAAATCGAATACATGGTCTTGTCGAGTTAGAGATGACGAGTTTCGACTGTATCAAAACTGCAAGAAACGACGAGACATTGAAAATGAATGAAAGATAATATGGAATTAAGATATCAAACCAAACGGACAGAATAGAAAGACGACAAAAGTAACAACAGAAACTGAGGAGAAATAGACGATCAGCCATTTGAAATTATGGAAACATAGCATCCATGGGAGAATCAACAAAAGCAACTGACAGGATATCACAACAAAAGGGAAGACAACAAATCCAACAAGACGGATATCAGTACAAACAAAAAGACAACACCAGGAACCGGAGGGACATTAGTACAAACACAGACAACAACAGGAACTGGAGGGACATTAGTACAAACACAGACAACAACAGGAACCGGAGGGACATTAGTACAAACACAGACAACAACTGGAACCGGAGGGACATTTGTACAAACAAAGACAACAACAGGAACCGGAGGGACATTAGTACAAACACAGACAACAACAGGAACTGGAGGGACATTAGTACAAACACAGACAACAACAGGAACCGGAGGGACATTAGTACAAACACAGACAACAACAGGAACCGGAGGGACATTTGTACAAACAAAGACAACAACAGGAACCGGAGGGACAATAGTACAAACAAAGACAACAACAGGAACCTGAGGGACATTAGTACAGACAAAAAGACAAGAACAGGAACCGGAGGGACATTAGTACAAACAAAGACAACAACAGGAACCGGAGGGACATTTGTACAAACAAAGACAACAACAGGAACCGGAGGGACATTAGTACAAACAAAGACAACAACAGGAACCTGAGGGACATTAGTACAAACAAAGACAACAACAGGAACCGGAAGGACATTTAAACAAAAAAGAAGACAACTCCATGAATGGAGTAGAGCCGGATATGAGAGTAAACCATACAGCTGTTAAGCCATTGTACAACGCATTGTTTACCCTAGGAATATAAAGTAACGGAACTGAGAAGGCGAAGGAATACAATAAAGCCATACATTGGATACAGAGGTTAGATACCACACGATACAAAAAATCATAGAACCTCAAGTACATATGTATATGTGTAATGTTACCATCATTCGAATGATTTTAAATGTAGTACATTGTTTGTGTCACAAAACAATATATGCGTGTTATATAAAAAGTCGTTTGAGATTTTGTTACAGTTTCCCTATCCTATTATTTATGTCATCTCACTATCATTAGTCTTCATCTACAGGCCCCAATGGTTGTTGCGAAACGATAAATACTAAATGACAGCTAATATTTTTCCCTTTTCCTTACAAATACCCTCCTCACGGCCATGGTCCGAATGTGATGACAAGCTTGGATTCATCAGATCAAATACCACATCATCTTCTTCAATAATTAAATGGGGACATTTAATGGTCGCCATTCTGATCTCATTGAGAAATATTTTATTTCTTTGTTCCATATGAAGGTGGACGTGTTTGATGCTCGTTTGTTTGCCTGCTGGTTCCGTTGTTGTATACATTGGTTTCATTGAGGTCAACGTTACTTACTTGGATATACCATCAGAGGACGCTTACACTTCGGAAACACCTGGTCTTATTCTCCTTGTTTTATTTCAGGAATCTCCGTGTTAATTTTTCTTTGTTCCATCCTATTTTGCCCTTGTTTTTATTTAACTTGAGTTTAAGATATGATTATGTCTTCAAGAAAATGAAATAGATAAACAATATGTGAAGCACCTACCTGAAAAGTAAACTAAATATCCATTGTTGTTTTGTACTTATTTATCACAGTAAGTTTCTCAAACTTCTATGAATAGGATATTCCGGAAAAGCAACACACGCAAAATAAATCATTTCTGTGATATATCTTGTTTTATGATACAGTATATATTGTATTTACGACTGATATATCGTTTAATATGTATAGTTTTTTACACCCCGTTTTAAAATATATGTATATAGGCATCAGAAAAATATCAATTCTTTTCAAATCTTAACTAACATGTATGTTTCATAATATCTACAGACCAATGTGCAGTCTGTTTGATTGATTACTTTCACTTCCCACAGCGTATTCTATATTTGCTTATGTAATTCAATAACTATTTACGATGTATTTTAACCATAGCATTATGGGACTTTAACACTAAGTATACAAGTATATATGACAAGACTTGAAGAATCCATTTTCGACAAAGATGAATTGCATCACATGATCAATAAAGCTTACATTCGTCCCATAGGTGGTGTCGGATTTAAGTATAGTCTAATTGGCCGAAATCGATCACGTGTATTGGGGATCATATTTACGTAACTGTCACGCGAGGACACAAGTCAAGCTGTACATATACAATAAGCACATCTAATACCAATCGTATGTGAAATCTACTCAATTTTCTTTTTTTGCTCTGATGAAGATGACAATATTGAAATAATTCAATTATTGACCGATATGTTTCATATTGAAGTGACAACGAGAATATCGCGCAATTACATGTCGTTAAATCCAAAGCCTTAAAGAGTTGTCTGCAACGTAAGGAGACGTAACATGTAAAATTGTTTTTACAAAATTCATATTATTGCGATTTTGAATCGTTCCATTTTAGCTAAATTTATGAAATTAAATGAAAAATTATGATGAAAATCAAAGAGAGATCAAAAACGAAATGATCGTGCAAAAGAGGGAGGAGATTAAAGACTACACTTTTTATAAAAATGAAAAATACGCATGAAATGGTTTCAATTGCATTCATGCCTGAGATGTCGGGACATGATAAACAAAACTAAGATAATATCGTTGTAGTCTGTATGACTAAATCATTTTCTACTTTCTTCAATTAAAAAAAAAAAAAAGATGCTTCACTATCAGTATGATCCCCGACCTTACTGTTATAATCATTACTATCCCCGACCTTAGTAGTGATGTAAAGTTTCTTTGATCTCACCTTACTGTTATAATTTATGCTAAGTATATGCTACCTTACTGTTATAAAAAAACCAGAATAATGACCTTACTGTTATAATCATTACTATCAGTATGATCCCCGACTTACTGTTCATAGATCAGTAGATCCCCGACCTTACTTGGAATTACTATCAATGAAATTACTGTTATAATCATTACTAAACAAAAGAAAATTTATTCAAGGATTCCCCGACCTTACTGTTATAATTTACTATCAGTATGATCCCCGACCTTACTGTTATAATCATTACTATCAGCATGATCCCCGAACTTACTGTTATAATCATTACTATCAGTATGATCCCCGACCTTACTGTTATAATCATTACTATCAGTATGATCCCCGACCTTACTGTTATAATCATCACTATATCAAACGGTCCCTGTTTTACTATCAGTATGATCCCCGACCTTACTGTTATAATCATTACTATCAGTATGATCCCCGACCTTACTGTTATAATCATCACTATCGGTATGATCCCCGACCTTACTGTTATAATCATCACTATCAGTATGATCCCCGACCTTACTGTTATAATCATTACTATCAGTATGATCCCCGACCTTACTGTTATAATCATTACTATCAGTATGATCCCCGACCTTACTGTTATAATCATCACTATCAGTATGATCCCCGACCCGTTATAATCCCGACCTTACTGTTATAATCATTACTATCAGTATGATCCCCGACCTTACTGTTATAATCATTACTATCAGTATGATCCCCAACCTTACTGTTATAATCATCACTATATCAAACGGTCCCTGTTTTACTATCAGTATGATCCCCGACCTTACTGTTATAATCATTACTATCAGTATGATCCCCGACCTTACTGTTATAATCATTACTATCAGTATGATCCCCGACCTTACTGTTATAATCATTACTATCGGTATGTTCCCCGACCTTACTGTTATAATCATTACTATCAGTATGATCCCCGACCTTACTGTTATACTATATCAAACGGTCCCTGTTTTACTATCAGTATGATCCCCGACCTTACTGTTATAATCATCACTATCAGTATGATCCCCGACCTTACTGTTATAATCATTACTATCAGTATGATCCCCGACCTTACTGTTATAATCATTACTATCAGTATGATCCCCGACCTTACTGTTATAATCATTACTATCAGTATGATCCCCGACCTTACTGTTATAATCATTACTATCAGTATGATCCCCGACCTTACTGTTATAATCATTACTATCAGTATGATCCCCGACCTTACTGTTATAATCATTACTATCAGTATGATCCCCGACCTTACTGTTATAATCATCACTATCGGTATGATCCCCGACCTTACTGTTATAATCATTACTATCAGTATGATCCCCGACCTTACTGTTATAATCATTACTATCAGTATGATCCCCGACCTTACTGTTATAATCATTACTATCAGTATGATCCCCGACCTTACTGTTATAATCATCACTATCAGTATGATCCCCGACCTTACTGTTATAATCATTACTATCAGTATGATCCCCGACCTTACTGTTATAATCATTACTATCAGTATGATCCCCGACCTTACTGTTATAATCATTACTATCAGTATGATCCCCGACCTTACTGTTATAATCATCACTGTTTTACTATCAGTATGATCCCCGACATTACTGTTATAATCATTACTATCAGTATGATCCCCGACCTTACTGTTATAATCATTACTATCAGTATGATCCCCGACCTTACTGTTATAATCATTACTATCAGTATGATCCCCGACCTTACTGTTATAATCATCACTATCAGTATGATCCCCGACCTTACTGTTATAATCATTACTATCAGTATGATCCCCGACCTTACTGTTATAATCATCACTATACCAAACGGTCCCTGTTTTACTATCAGTATGATCCCCGACCTTACTGTTATAATCATTACTATCAGTATGATCCCCGACCTTACTGTTATAATCATTACTATCAGTATGATCCCCGACCTTACTGTTATAATCATTACTATCAGTATGATCCCCGACCTTACTGTTATAATCATTACTATCAGTATGATCCCCGACCTTACTGTTATAATCATTACTATCAGTATGATCCCCGAACTTACTGTTATAATCATTACTATCTGTATGATCCCCGACCTTACTGTTATAATCATTACTATCAGTATGATCCCCGACCTTACTGTTATAATCATTACTATCAGTATGATCCCCGACCTTACTGTTATAATCATTACTATCAGTATGATCCCCGACCTTACTGTTATAATCATCACTATCAGTATGATCCCCGACCTTATGTTATAATCATACTATCCGACCTTACTGTTATACTATCAGTATGACCTTACTGTTATAATCTATATAATCATTACTATCAGTATGATCCCCGACCTTACTGTTATAATCATTACTATCAGTATGATCCCCGACCTTACTGTTATAATCATTACTATCAGTATGATCCCCGACCTTACTGTTATAATCATTACTATCAGTATGATCCCCGACCTTACTGTTATAATCATTACTATCAGTATGATCCCCGACCTTACTGTTATAATCATTACTATCAGTATGATCCCCGACCTTACTGTTATAATCATCACTATCAGTATGATCCCCGACCTTACTGTTATAATCATTACTATCAGTATGATCCCCGACCTTACTGTTATAATCATCACTATCAGTATGATCCCCGACCTTACTGTTATAATCATCACTATCAGTATGATCCCCGACCTTACTGTTATAATCATTACTATCAGTATGATCCCCGACCTTACTGTTATAATCATCACTATCAGTATGATCCCCGACCTTACTGTTATAATCATCACTATCAGTATGATCCCC